AACCATTTTTGAAATTTGTAATATATGAAAATACAATACTGACTAATAGTTTGATTAAAAATTTTGAGGATTATGCAAAAAAAATAATTGCAAGCTATTTTTTCAAATTTCAAAATTTAGTAATTTTTAAATGGCTGTAACTAGTCTTTTTGTAAAGATAATCATAGTTTGTCTTAGAGTTTTGTAAAGCTCAAAGACTCAGCTTTAAGAATATGAAACGGTTTTTCGGAAAAAATTGCGTAAATTATGTGTAAATTCAATTTAAAACAAAAAAGAATTTTTCCTATGTTAATTAAATGGGAAACTAAAATAAAAATAGCCACCCCTTAGATTTGAGCTATAGTGCTCATGTTTGGCGAGGATGTTTTTACAACAAATAGAAACATTTGAGGGGGTAAGAGTTAGAAAAAAAAATTAAAAATTTTGTTTGAAGCACCCTAATATATATATATGAACCATTTTGACATTTAATACAGGTTGAAATCAATTATTAATGAAAATTCATTCTTATTTTTAATTTTCCCACTATAAATTATCACACCCTCCCTCACCGGGAGTCGAACTCAGGACCTTTGGCTTTACGCACCAATGCTCTGAGCAGAGCATCATTAATTTGAGGAAATTTATAGTGGGAAAATCAAAAATAAAAATGAATTTTCATTAATCAGTAATTGTATATTAATTAAAGATGTCTAACATCCAATAAATAATGTATTCTGTTATATACTCAAATTACCAAATCTACTAAATAATGTCTTATGTCAAACAGGTAATCAAATTACTGTAATCATATTTCACACATTGATGACAACTTACTGTAAACATATTTTACTATGTATTAGCACGTAAACGAAGAGGAGGAACTAATCTCTGATTTATACCCATAAGGGTGTAACCCAGAGCCGGGCAAACTTTAACTTCGCAGGAGCCGCTACATGAGTTTAGTTTGAGTCACTCCATACCCTTCAATGAGTACGAGAGAGTAAGCAGTAATGAATAATTTTGTTTTGTCTTTTTCTTCTCCCTTCCACTCCCATATCAAGCCCCTTCATCCCGTAGACGAGCGAAGTCACTCTCGCAACTTAAAAAATAATTTTCGTTACTACGTTCGCAAAACTATTGGGTTTGGCTATGGAAGAGGGGACTCATCTACGAAATGGAAGGGATAAGAAAAGGAAAGAATCATCTCACTCGCACTCGCAGGATCAATGAGGATCCACTTGGTTAACCTTGAGGATCACTCTGGATGCAAAAGATCCGAGTTTGCCCGGCTCTGGTGTAACCAATATTTATATAAAAAGGCTTCTTCTTAATAATAAGATTAGATTTGATAATAATCTCAACTTGTAAACATCAGATCCAATACTGTTGGTAAGCAAACTGCCTGATTATTGTTATAATTTGTATTGTATTTAAACTATACTTATTATATAAGTAAAGGTTCTACGAGTTCTTCTATTTTATTTCGACCTGAATGTCAACACAAATTTGGCAGTCTAAAAGGGTTGCAACATTTACAATTCATTTCAAACGGTCAGAGATGAGACTTACAGGTAGAGGTATATCTCTAGCCGTTTAAAATGAGTTGTATGTGGTAATAATGTCAAGTGTCGTTAATTTTTAATATTTAGGGTACCCGGTTTTTTTTTTAAAAAGTAGCGAGCAGGTACTAATATATTAGGAAACATTACTTAATTTTCGATATTTTGATACGTAATAACTGAGTCATTATGGATAGCGGAACATATGTGGCGAATTATATGGAATATTTCAAAAAAAGAAGGGTGGGGGGAAGGGTCACCACTAAGAAACCACTCAAAACGTAAGCCATGCACAAACAATCAAACATATTTAAACCGAGAGCAAGCCACATGTTTGTGTTCAAGACTTAAGACATTTTCACGAAAATAAATAAAAATTTGTTTAGAATATGCAAATGTAAAAAGTTTGGGAGACTCACACATCCCTCGACTTTCAGGGTGGGTGTAACAATCGCCACCTACATCAAATCTTCCGCCGTCACTAATTTTGGGTACCCGTTTTTGTTTTTACACTGTGCTGGGATAACTCAAGTTGAATTTTAGTAAATTAAGGACACCACTAGATAACAAAACCAAAATTCAGAGGAATCCGCTCGGAAAACAAACAATTACGAGCCAAGAAATGAGCATGGCGTTAAAGTCAATGAGTCATATTATCAAGCAAGACATACAATTAGATCTTGGAGACTTCAAAAACCGTACCGAACCATTGCTGCCTGCAGCTGTTAAACAATACAGTGTAGTAAAATTAAAACGGAAGTACGCAAATAATCTCCGTAGAAGAATTTTCTTTAAGGATGAAAAAATCTTCACTGTTAAGGAAAAATTCAATAGATTATATGATATGATTTACATATAACCATCTATGCCTATGAACTTATCCTATTAGTCGAAATCGGCATCAGTTATGGTTGGGTGGGGTATTTCTCATGAAGGGATAACTGATTTGTATTTTTGCAAAAAAGATGTCAAAACATCAGCCAAGGTCTAATAACAGACTATCCTTGTATCTGCTGTTCTTTCAAGCACTGAATGACACCTTTTAAAGTCAAAACGACCCTACCCTGAGTCCAGAACAATACACTCAACTTAATATGTGTATCTCTAACTGGCGACTACTGGCCGTCTGCTAGTCATAATATAAATCCCTTCGAGTACAAGTTGTAAAATAATTTGAAAGGCATGGTATGCTACATAAGATAGCCCAACATTGAGTCGTTCAAACGTAATTTTGGTTAAGCTGTGGCTAATTTTCCAATGTCCGAGGATGTTAGCTGCTATTAATGAATGGCCCATGAAGGCACGTGCAGAAACGTGTTAAGAAGAGTAGAGATAGATCTAGATTGGATAACTATTCACAAATAGTTAAGGATGGAGGATCTTTTAGAAAATGTAAAGGTTAGCTCAGGGTAGAAGAGTGAAGATGCATGTCCAATCAGCCTTAACCCCGCGATAATGATGATGATACGCAACCTTATAACCTAGTATACAGAACCATGTTGCAGACCTATATAATAACCACAGATATAGAGAATTAACCTATGGAATGGACTGCGCTTCTTATTTAGCTATAATGTAAATACAGGCAAGAACTTGTGAGAAAGTCATAGCGATCGTGGGACCAGTAGTTGCCTTTTTTTACAATTTTGATTCGATACGTCACAGTCTTGTCTGCGTTTCTAGAGAGTGGTCAATTCCATGAGGGTATTACTCACTTAATCCTCTATATCTATGGTAATAACTATAACTACGAGCGAAATTTGGTCATAATACTTAATCAATTAATTATTTTTTTTCTTGCTATATTTTATTGCACTCCACGCATTTTTAAATTGATTGAATTTTATCCTCAATAGAGACTGACGACTATACTTGCGACACTGTTATTTTGACACATTCCCCGGTAAGCAACCTTTCTAACCTTGTTAAATTAAACAACAGCATAAATATATTGTTAGAAATAAATATGTCCACACCGTCTCCAAAATCTCCAGAACAGAGAGAAAAGCATAGAAAATATGATCGTCAATTAAGGTTGTTTGAAATTATACGAGTACATTTACTTACTAAGTTGTTATTATTTTCAGGTTATGGGGAGATCACGGTCAAAAATTGTTAGAAAATGCCAAAGTTTGCTTGATAAATGCTACCGCTTTAGGCACTGAAACTCTTAAAAGTTTAGTTTTACCTGGTATAGGCGCCTTCACAATAGTTGATGGTGAGAAAGTTACAGAGGAAGATGTAGGTTCCAAGTACGTACATTACCATCTGCAAGACAAATTGATAATTTGCAGTATTATGTAACAAAAATATTTTGTGTATAGCTTCTTTTTTGAGGAAGATAGCATAGGAACTTCAAGGGCACAAGCTGCTACACATGCTCTTCTTGAATTGAATCAAGATGTACGAGGTGATTACATAGATGAATCAATTGAGAATGTGATGTCTCATACACATAATTTCTTCAAAAATTTCACAGTTATTATTGCCACATCATTACCAGAAAAGTAGGTTTAGAAATCAATTGGAGAGGCTAAATGTATAAAAATTTATTTCCTTAGAACACTAGTACCATTGTCAAAACTGCTTTGGGAGGCAGATATCCCCTTTTTAGTAGGTAGAAGTTTAGGTTTTTTCGGGTATATAAGACTGCAAACTAAAGAACATACCGTAGTAGAGACACATCCCGATAATGAAAATTTAGATTTAAGATTAGACAAACCATGGCCAGCATTAAAAGAGCATCTAGATAAAATTGATGTAGAATCCTTAGATAACAAAGAACGAAGCCATGTTCCTGCTCTTGTCATTCTATATTATTACATGCAGAAGTTTAGGGACCAACATGGAGGTAAATTTTTGAAATGAGTGCTTTTATTAAAACTAAAGTTAAAATATTTGATAGGCAAACTTCCATCTAACCGAATTGAAAAAGAAAAATTACGACAAATGATCAGGGAAGGATTTTCTCCTGATGAACATGGTATCAGGATTTTGGAGGAAAACTATGAACAAGCAATAAATTTAGTAAATACCTGTGTTAATCCTGTTAGTATACCACCAAATGTTAAAAATATACTAGAAGATGAAAAATGTACAAATCTGAATCAAGAAGTAATTTTATTGCACTTTCTGTAGCCCTTTCTTCAATTTTTATTTCTTCTAGTCTACTCCTTTTTGGATAATGGCAGCAGCCTTAAAGGAAATAGTAGAAGCAGAAGGTAGTTTACCATTGAAAGGAAGCTTACCGGATATGGCTGCTGATACTGCCAGTTATGTAACTCTGCAGCAGCTTTATCAGACACAAGCTCAGTTACAATCAGAAACTCTTTATCGCCATGCTGTGCAAATTGCTAGGAGTCTGGGACAAGCGCCAGATACTATTTGTGAAGCTGATGTGAGTATAAATATTTTTTAGGTATAGATAAAAAACTTGAAGTTAAGTTTTTAAAAGCAAAATAGTTCATTTTAAATTATGAAAAATTCTTCAAGTCTCTATTAAGTAACATAAAATACCTACTGTTCGATAATTATTTTATTAAAAGTTCTCCAAATCAACTTCATAAGGCAAGCAAAGAGTAAAGTTTATTACATTTTCATTTTAATTAATAATTTAGTTAGTAT